AAGATAACCATGTTTTCTGTCCATTTAACCGGCGAAATGTATCCCATGGGCAGTGTGGTATTGATGAAAAGCTGTCTCATTGCTCAGAGTGGATTCTAAACAAAAGACGACGCTACCCTCACTCCCTGCCTTGTTCACGTCTTGTTCTTGATACTGGTTTGCTATCCAAAATTAATATTGCCAACCATTTTTCTTTACTTGTTTGTAATTGGGATTTGGAATTACCGGTTCAGGCCAAGGCATCCACCCCACATGGATGCTAGACTTTCACAAGCAGAATTTGCTCACCCAGATGAATTGGATGATGAATTTGACACATTTCCAACTACAAGACCTTCAGATATTGTGAGAATGAGGTATGACAGATTGCGGAGTGTGGCAGGTAGAGTACATACTGTGGTTGGAGATTTGGCTACTCAAGGAGAAAGGGCTCAAGCCAAGTAGTTGCAATTTTAGTAGGACTATACCTGCTGCGTTATCCTCGCTTTAGAAGCAAGATGCCATCGGTACCAGTTAATTTCTTGAAGAGATTGCCTTCCAAATCAGATATGCTGCTGTGACGCCTCACTTGGATATAACATGAAAGGATGCCTTATTTTTTGCCTTTTGAAAAGAAAGGTTATTTTGGTAAAAGCACATTTTTTCCCAATCTATATTTAACTAAAAGTCAAACATAGACTTTACAAAAGTTACCTAATTTCCCCGGTAAAATTTTTTCCAACCAAACAACTATTTTTTCATTTTCCTATCAAACTCATCTCCCTACTAATCACATTTCCCTATGATTCATAAAAATTTCTGTTCAACCAAACGCTCCCTAAGTGACTTTGGAGTTATTTAAGACAATTTATAGTTCAGACTTCAAATGCGGATTTTAAATGCAGTTAAATTGCCACGTGAGACATGTTGGTCGTAGAAATTTGGATCTAACGACTCAGATGGGATTTTTGCGGGGTACGTGCAAGATCAACGGTCGTGATTTGAAATTTCTTTGTGTCGTGCATGTCCAGTCGTGATTTAGAATAGATTTTATTATTTTTCTGTGAGTTAAAAATAGTGGAATAAAAATCTCGATGTACATTAGGAGCACATTTATGTACTGGGTGGTACTGAACTAGGTGTGTTTTTTGTAATTTATCCTTTGTACTCTCAGAAATACATAGTGTAAATTAAGAAAAATATTGTTTTCATCTCACTTCAGTACCAAAAAAAAAAGCTGAGGTGGCATTTTTCCATCGGCTGGTCGCACCTAATATCTTTTGCTTGGCAATTGGGTGGAATTTCCATGGTATTGTAGAATTTCCCTAGGCTCTCTGGAATTGGGTGGGTCCCCTTAGGGCTGCGTACTTTTGCTTGGCAAATGCTCCATGGTCGAATTCTAACTAAGGAAGCAACGTCCAATTGGGGAGGGTCCCCATTCTTCCATGGCTGTAATAATATTGTAACGACCCAAAATTTAGAAAATAAAACAATGGAGTCGCCACTAATTTTATTTACTTGAAAAAATTGGAAAAGCATTTTATTGCAAACTGGTCTTTAAAATTATAGATCAAAGGTTCGAGAGTCTAATTATGCTCAAGGAAGGGTGGAAACTTAATCCCACTGCACCCCTGACACATCCGTTTAAAAACGGTTACCTTAAATTAATTGTGTAAATTATTAATAGCTTTTAAAAATATTTGCTTAATCCCTTAAAATAAATAAACATAATTATTTAGAAAATGAGAAGACTAAATTATTAAAATTTTATTTTAGCTTGACGGAAAGAGTTCCGCTCCGACGTATCCTCTGGTACAGTGAGGAATTTAAAGCTACATCGTTCTTTAATAATATTTGTATGTTGGTTGGTTTTAAATTTTGGAGTACCAAACTGTCACAGCTAAAATAATTCCGATCATGTTCAGGGTTGACAAGCTGTCACGGCTAAATTACCCCTTTTTCTAAAAAAAATAAATTTTATGCGATTATTTTCATTAATACGAATTTTGTGAAGAATTTAAATAAACTCTGAATCACCAAACCGTCACGGTTAAAATGATCCTGAACGAACGCATAGGATCGACAAGCTGTCACGGCTAAATTACCCCCTTTAAATGATTTTAAGGTTAAATTAATATAAAAAAAACAATATATGATAATTTTAATGAATTTCGAATCACCAAGCCATCACGGCTAAAATGAACCAAAATAAAACATGAGGGATTAACAAACCGTCACGACTAAATTGTCCCTTTATTAATTTTCGAAATTTTCTGAGTTCATATATTGTAGATAACAAAAAGATTACTCACGTGAATGAACTACTAGGAATAATGATTAGTTCTGAACAAAAAAAAAATTTATTAAAATACTAACACACGAAGTCACGAACCACTATGTAGTTTAATATGTGAAGATCCAATTCACATGGAGGTACAGACTCATTATATATATATTTTTTTATTATCTATTTTATTGGATTTTAAATAAAACCAGGAAAACAAATATGTTAGAATAAATAATACAACTCTTCTTTCTACCCCTGCACATTAACGTGTCATTCAACATTTGTTGTTAAAAAGAAAAAAAACTTAAAAGAATATCGCATTCATATCCATATGCACAGTAACATACTATTACAAGTTATTGAATGAATATTTAAAGGAGACTCCTATGAAATTTTGGAAATAGACATGTAAAAGCAAACTGAGAAGTACATGAGAGAACACATAGACTAAACGCTCAGAAAGCAATTGTTTTAAAAATGACAAAAATAGAAGAAGAATTTATGATAGAATGAATGCAGTAAGAACTCGACAACTAAAGACGACACACATGCCACAAAACAACTATTTGTGATTTCATGAATCATTAATTGGGATACTTTTCAGAACAAGACACAAATATTAGACTACCATGAAGACAATCCAAAAGAGCAAAGTGTGTAGATGAGTTACTTGGACGCCTAGCTGCAAATTCTCCAGCCGGTATTTGAAGGAAAAAAAAATCTGAAGCCCCCACCGAAGGGTGATTTGTTACAACACACTTATTGTTGGCAGTGTACTCATAAGTAGAACTCCTTATTATTGGCAGTGCAAATTCTCACGGCTTTCTTCCAATCATTCTCTTCTTCTATCTCTGGTTTCCTTCATAAGTTTCACTCTTATTTATTTTGTTTTTTTGGATAACTTCACTCTTATTTTTATTTCTAGCTCCTGGTGTTTCTCCTATGACCCCTCTACTGATAAAAAATGGCTTTCCCTTTCTTATCTCCTTTTTCTCCGTTTTTTCTTTCTTCCAACCTCCCTTCTTAGAAGTAGAGCTCTCCTTTTTTATCTCCTCCGAACCCCCTTTGGAAAAACCCCGAGTTCCCCTTATATAAAGAAAGGCTTCTTGTTCTTTTTTGGATGGCCTCTTTTTCTTTTTCTTTTTTTTTTTCCGTTGCTAGCAGCACTCTTGCCCTTTGTATTTTCTGTGCCATGCTTATAAAATTTGTGTTGAAGCCTTTGTCTTTTTCTCCTACTTTCTTGTCATGGCTTATTTAGGCTAAACCCCGAATCCAATTCTGATTATTTTGCTCTTGGCGTACAAACAACTCTGATTCTCTTGTTGTATATGCAGGTAAGGCGTTTGTCTTCTTCAACAGAGGGAGTGACCAAGAAGACCTGCAGCCATCTTTATTAGCCATGTCTTTTTTAATTTTCTGAAATTTCCCTTCCTTTGAATAATTCCCTACTTCCCGTCTTTTTATTTTTTCTGCCCTATGTCTACTTACCTCAATAATACATTGAACTTTGCATGTACGTTGTCATGTGCAGAATTTGGCATTTAGTTACCTTAGTTTTCTTTTTGTTTTCTTTCTTTTTAATAACAGTTAATTACAAATTATAAAAAGCAATATTTTCTCATTTAATTTTTCTTTTTTAAAATCTTTTTTTTTTCACAATTTAGATTTTTTTTTTGTCATTTTTAAATATTTGGGACAAAATTGGGTGTTCACAGTTGCCCCTATTTATTTGTTTCTTACTAAAATAATATGACAACTCACAGTTAGCATATTATTGTTGTAAGAAACAATAAAGACATGAATCCTAATTTTGTCCAAGAACAACAGAAAACATTTACGGGTGAGGTGCAATCTAAAAATTAAATACAGCGAGCCTCTGCGCTCGAAAATAGAATACATGAAGCCGGAAGATTAAATGCTTGAATTCATCCCGGTATGAAAAAGGAAATGTGGAACCAACTGGATAAGGACTCAAAACTAGAAAATAAAAGTTTTGTAACCAACTTGATATGGGTTGACAAATTGAGTGGAAAAGAAAATATTTGAAACCAACTGGATATAGGATCTCAAATGGAAAAGAAAATGTTTGTAACCAATTGGATTTGGGTTCACAAACGGACATAGCATAAAATCTGCAACCAACTGGATATAGGTCGACAACAAGAAAATAAAAAGAACTTCTGCAATCAACTGGATATAGATTGACAAAAGGAAAATAGAGAGACTTTTACAACCAACTGGATAAGGGTTGACAAAAGGAAAGAAAAGTAAAGGTCTGTAACCATCTGGATATGAGTTCACAAACGGACAGAAAATTAAATGTTTGCAACCAACTGGATATGGGTTCACAAAGGTAAAATTAAGAATCGAAGAATATTTTTATAATCGTTCTATTATAATAGCTTAGTTGACTTTTGATTACTATTTTTTTTATGTTAAGTTAAAGTTTTCGTTTGTTTTCTTGTTTATATATATATTTTTAACGCGTTTAAAAATATTTTGGCTTGCAGTGCATTTAAAAATATTTTCTTGGGATATCATTATTGAAACACAAGATAGAGTATTGCAGCGCATCGATGTGAAGCATCCGTTATATCTTGGCTTGCAGTATCCATTTTTATTTCCATACGGTGAAGACGGTTATTGTGATGATGTCCAGCGTACTGTATCCAGTGGTAGGAAAAATGCAAGAGCCATGATCAGCATGAAGGAATTTTTTTCGTTTAGACTTCAGATGCGATCTGGAGAATCAATAATTCTACATCGATCAAGGAAACTTTTCCAACAATTTCTGGTTGATGCATACACTATGATTGAGTTTGAACGACTTAATTTCATTCGATATAACCAGAGTCATCTGAGAGCTGAGTTGTACAAAAATATAAAACATTCATTAGATAGCGGTGAAGATGCAGCACTGAGCACTGGAAAACGTATCATTATACCTTCTTCATTCACAGGCGGACCTAGATATATGGTTGAAAATTGTAAAGATACTTTCACAATTTGCCGTTGGGCTGGATATCCTCATCTTTTTATAACAATTACCTGCAATCCTAAGTGGCCAGAAATTACACGATTTGTTAGGGCCAGACAGCTGAACCCTGAAGATCGGCCTGATATTCTATGCAGAGTCTTCAAGTTCAAATTGGACCAGTTGCTACATGATTTAAAAAAGGAAAATATTCTTGGCAGAGTCATTGCATGTAAGTATATTATAAACTTGATACTCTTTTTGTTAACTGGATTTTATACAAAAAAATTTACGTCATACATTGAATCTTTCTATAACGTTGTTGTATTCTTATTATTACTTATGTTATATTCTTTGAATGTAACAGATGTTTGTACAATCGAATTCCAAAAGCGCGGACTACCTCATGCTCATATTCTTCTATTCTTGAACCCTTCAAGCAAAGCTGAAAGTGCTCTTGATATTGATAAATTGATTTCAGCGGAGATATCTGACAAGGAAATGAATCTTACGCTATTTATGGCTGTCACGAGTTACATGATACATGGTCCATGTGGTCCTGAAAATTACAAATCTCCTTGCATGAAGGACGGACGGTGTTCAAAAAAATTTCCAAAAAACTTCTGCTCCCGTACTTTGATTGACGATGATGGATTTCCTCATTATAAGAGAAGAAATGATGGGAGAGTTGTGAACAAAAATGGTGTTGTACTTGATAATCGTTATGTTGTGCCCTATAATGCACACCTTCTTTTAAAGTACCAGGCTCATATCAACGTTGAATATACTTGCCAGAGAAGTACCATTAAATATCTTTTTAAATACATCCACAAAGGGAATGACAGAGTTACAGCTGCCATAAATCATTCGGACGATGAAATAAAAATGTTTTATGACTGCAGGTACTAAAAATAATCTCCATTGTGTTTTGCTTTCCTACAAAATTGGCACAATTTTTTTGAGAAATTATTAACTTAAATGTTCACCGATTTATTTATTTATGTTAGGTATGTCTCCGCATGTGAAGCAGCTTGGAGAATATTTGGATTTGACATTCATTCGAGATATCCCCCTGTTCAGAGATTGCCATTTCACTTGCCTAATGAAAAGAACATTATTTTCAGTGATAATGATTCGTTGTATGATGTAAAGACAAGGGCGGAGTCTAGACTGTCAATTTTTGAGTCTTGGATGGATGCAAATAAAAAATATCCAGAAGGTAGGCATCTAACTTATGGAGAGTACCCGACTGAATTTGTTTTCAAAGAAAAAACGCATGAATGGAATCCGAGAAAAAAAGGATTTTCCATTGGAAAGATAAATCATTTTTCTGCCAATAATGGAGAAGATTCATATCTTCGCACCTTGCTTAATTTTCAAAGAGGTTGCACCAGTTATGAAGATCTTAGAACGATCAATGGCGTGGTTTTTCCTACATTTAAGGATGCGTGCTATTCTTTAGGACTTCTGGATGATGACAATGAGTACATTGATGCAATTAAGGAGGAAAGTTCCTGGGGATCTGCTGCTTATCTTAGATGTCTGTTTGCTCTGTTGTTATTTGCCAACTCAATGAACAGACCTTAAAAAGTTTGGGAAGAGTGTTGGAAATTTTTATCTGACGGCGTTGTTTATCGGCATAGGAAAAGAATAGGACGTCAAGGTACGTGTTATAATAATATTTCATACAATTTTTTTTTTGTTTAACCGAAATCAGCATATGCTGCCTTAGTTTGCCCGTATTCAGCAAATGTTGCTTTAGTGCTTATTTTGTTTTTTTTTTCCCGCATTCAGCAAATGATGCTTTAGTACTTATTTCGCTCTCTTTTCTTTCTTTGATTACTTTATCTTTGTTAATTTTTTAATTTTTTTTCCTTTGAATTTTATGCTTTGTCAGATGCAATTCTTACAGAAGAGTCTATAAAAAACATAACTCTTGAAGAAATTGATAAGGTACTGCAGAGCAATGGGAAATGCCTCTCTGTTTATCCGTCAATGCCACGCATCAATAGTGAAACTTTGCTTGATATGCAAAATCAATTAGTGTTGGATGAATTAATGTATGACAGATTTGCTTTGGAAGAGGAGCATAAAAGACTAATTAATTCCCTCACTGATGAGCAGAAAGCTGTTTATGATAAAATTGTTTCAGCAGTTACGCCAGGTAATAGAGGGTTATTTTTCCTATACGGGTTCGGTGGTACAGGAAAAACATTTATTTGGATTACTCTTTCAGCATCTATTAGATCAAAAGCTGGAATCGTACTTAATGTTGCTTCTAGCGGAATTGCTTCCCTTCTGCTTCCTGGAGGACGAACATCGCATTCTAGATTTCGTATTCCTATTCAAATCAATGAAGATTCAACGTGTAATATAAGGCTGAAATCTACTATAGCGGAGTTGCTGTCAAAAACAAAGTTAATCATTTGGGATGAAGCTCCAATGGTACATAGATTTTGCTTTGAGGCTCTGGATAGGACACTGAGAGATGTTCTTAGAATTTCTGATGCTGTGTTGATATGCCATTTGGTGGAAAAGTTGTTGTTCAAGAAGGTGACTTTCGGCAAATATTACCTGTCAAAATAAGATATACATCTCTCAAATTAAAAAATATTATTTAAGACAAATTAAATATTACAAAAAAAAAAGACAAAAAAATGACTGTTTATTCGCGTCTCTTTTCCTTATCTATCTTCAAAGATATGACCTTTATTATCCTATTTTCTTTCATATTTTTAATGTAACAATGAATGACTGTTTTGTTATTTAAAAAAATGACTGTTTGGGACCTTTGAAATACTGACAAAATGAGTTCGGCCCAGAGGGCCGACCCACCATGCCAAACAAACCAATTTTTTTTCCCATGCATCGGCACAGGTAATTCACTAGTTTTAAATGAATACTATAACAATAAAATTTAGGGAAAATTTTATTTTCACCCATTGTGATTTTGTGATTTATCATTTGACCCCTTGTGGTTTTAAACTTATCACTTAGATCCATTGTGCTTAAAAAATTTATCATTTAACCCCTCGTGGTTTCAAACTTTCACTTAGATACCTTGTGGTTAAATTTTTTTTACTTAAATCCCTTGTGGTTACGAAAATAAAAAATTTAAAAAATAAAATTTAAAATAAATATTCTCTCTTTTTTTATATATACTCACCTAATGCATTTAGGGTTTAAAAAATAGTTTTTTTTAAAAATATCACATATTTTTATAAAGAAAATAAATTCAAATAAAATAATATTTTATTTTATCTATTTTTTACCCGATATCGCTATAAAATTATCTAAAGAAAGTAAATATCTTATTTTGATAATATATATTTAATTTGTCTTAAATAATATTTTTTAATTTCAAATATATTTTAAAAAATTAAGATAATTTATAAACTAATTTCAGAATAAATAACATGAAATATTTTTTAAACCATAAATGCATTCGTTACATAAGGATATAAAATAAAAAAGAGAGAAAATTTATTTGAAATATTTAATTTTTAACATATTTAATTTTTAAACCACAAGGTGTCTAAGTGAAATTTTTTGTAACCAAAAGGGGTCTAAGTAAAAATTTGAAATCATAGGGGGTTAAATGACAAAATATCTCAGTACAGTGAGTCTAATTGATAAGTTTAAAATCACAGGAGGTGAAATGATAAATCTCAAAACTACTATTCATTCATATTGACACTTATTCACAAAGCTACTGGTATGCACACATTAATGTTCCTTCCATAGATGGTCAGATTCTGAAAAAATTGTTGCTAACGATTATAATATTCAACTTAAATACTCTAATAGGATTAGGACTATATCAAGTTTCTTCCAAAATTGGAGGCTATGTCACTTCCATATGAGACTCTGCCATAAATCTTACAAAGATACAGCTGTTAATTTTCAAGGACAGAAGGACATTGGAGCGTTTTGTCATAGATTCTGGCAAAAAAATTTAATTAATGTTTTTTAATAAAATAATTACGTATTTATTACAGTTTTGAAAATAATTACGGATTTATTGTCCACTGTGATGTCTCTTTTGGGCGTCACATATGACGCCCCATTGAGGCGTCTCACCCTAAGGGGAGACGCCCAAATGGAGCGTCTCTCATGAGGTATTGACACGTGTCACTTTTTTTCCAAAAAAAAATTGATTTAATCATAAAACTTCTAAAGGTCATAACTTTTGACTCGAGTATCCAAATCAGGTAATTCTTTTTTCGATTCCACATAACTTTTGAGATCTACGCAATGACATCTCATTTGATATATTTTATTTCTCACAAACATAATTTAAATTTAAATCAGGTAATCCTTCATCCTTAGATATTTAGAGTATTTATTTAATTATTTCCTTTATTAATACATATTTTTCAAATTAATTTTTGAGTTTAAATCACAAATCAAATCTAGCTAAAGAAGATCTGGTTAAAGGGGAGGGGAAGACTACTGAGAATTTCCCCCCACAAAGTTGCTGGTACAACATAGAGATGGAGGCAAAGAGGGGTTTTTACCTACTCATCACAGGCACAGCGGCAAGAGCTGCAGTTATCCACTACGCGGCCACAACAGGTGCCACTCCAAAGACAACTGCTGGGTAATGGCTGGACGGAACACCATGGTATGTCATAATAGCAGCACTATAGCCTGCTATTAATAAGCCTGTATAATTGCTAGTTTTAAATCTAGATATCATATCCAAATAGATAGATTAAATAGACACATATTAACAGCAGTGGCAAGAGAAAGAGAGCGTAGTGGTGAGTGGAATGCTGGGAATGGCCAGAAAACTGCCGACAAGCAATAGATGTGCATCGAATTGACAAAATAGACAAGAGAGAGAGCAGTGTCTCAAAAGGTTTCGAACAGAAGATGGGCAGAACAAAGAAGATCTGGTTGATAAAGGGGGAATTATGCATTTGTCCCCAGAAAATTGCTGGGATAATGCAGAGATGGGGGCAAAGAGGGGTTTCTACCCTCTCTTCAGAGGGTATGCGATCACAATGGGCGTTACTCCAAAATGCTACACGAAAGCATCTATAGTCCGTTATTAATAAATCTGCATATTTGCTAGTTTTAAATCTAGATATCATATCCAAATAGATAGCTGAAATAGACACATACTAACAACATAAATTTCTCATGCAAATTAAATTTTAATTCAGATAATGACTTCTAAGAGTCTAAAGGTACACAAATGATTTCCATGAATAAAAACAATTCTGGAACCTTCATACGTAAACCAATTGGCTAAGTTAATAATAATCCATAAAAAGGCCATCAAAGTTATTGGTCAACAATCAACGATATAACTTCTAAGATATGCCTTTGTAAAATATCATCATGTCAATATGTCAAATTGATGCTACAATTTGCAAATTCTAAGAAAAACTTTCCCATAAAAAGAACATTGTATTTATATATTCCAAATCCAAATCAGCGTCATCTATATATATAATAAATACAGGACAACACAACTTTTGTTAAACATAGTTTCAACCCGAAACAAATCTAATCAAACTATCATAATTGATATGCATCTGTAAGAAACAATCAAACATGTTGGTAAATGCTGTCTGATCCTTCCATAAAAAAGCATCACAACCTCAGTATATAATGTCTTTAATGCTTGAAACTCTAAAACAACTGAAAGACTTATTTTTTCCCCTAGTATGGTTAATGCCCCAAATTTTTTTAATTGGTACAAGTACAACCAAGTCCTTTAGTGAGTTCCCCCTTCTATGCTAGTAAAATCCTGTCCGTATCAAATCAAAACAAAACAAATATCAAGCTCATAACAATTTTCCCCCAACTGAAAAGACAATATGCTTAGAAGACAATAATAGTAAGAAAAATTAGATCCTTGTAAACATAGTAGCAAACAACCACTCCATATAACAAAGAGCTATATTCAACTTTGATTCCCACATCCACATCCACATCCACAATTACAATGACATACCTCTGTCCATCAAGATTACCCTGTCCACTGCTCCTACCACTCCCATAAGACCCATCCTCAGCAGCGCTAAGCCAAATGGACTGCCACGCCTGGGAAGGCGGCTGAACATAGACACCGGTGGTGGGGTCTAGCGCGGGGCGGCCGATCATCATTCCGGCAGGCTGACCAATAGGAGGATAGTAATAAGGAACACCGCTAGCGGTGGGGCCACCAACAAGTGCGGCGGCGGCTGTATCGTCCTTGATGTTGTCCCTGGGGACAATATCAACAAGGAAGTCGAAAATGTCGGTGCGGATAATGGCAGCGGCGATGTCGTTCTTCTGGACGGTTCAGCGCTTGTTCTCCTCGGCGTGAAGCCATGAACGGATGGTGAGTTCGAGGATGAAGAGCTCGTATGCCTTGGCGAAGAGGATCGGTGCTTCCGCTGAGATCATTCGAACGTCTTCGTCGGCTTTCATGATCTTCTTGATGCGCGCCAAGGGAAGCTGGTGGTTCTTGAAGTCGTTGATGTGCTTGATCTCTTGGCGCTGGTACGACCGGAACATCTGAAGCTGTTGCTGCTGTTGCTGTAGGAGGTGGTGGAATAGAGCCGTCGCCGCTGCTGCTGTGGGTTGCGCTGGGTATGAACCTGATTGGGATTGCACTTGCTGGTTGTTGTTCTCCATTTCTCCCCCAAATGGATGGTTTTCCAGGGTTTGATTTTGATCCAAGGGTGAGAGAAAGAGACACACACTCACCCACAAAAGTATTGGTGATTGGAAAATTGAATGGAAAGAAATTATGTAAATTGGATAAGGTTTTTTATTATTTTTATTTTTATTTTAAGGATTTATTAATAAAATAATAACATGGGAAATGATATTGTAACAATCAAGTTGTGTTACTATCATGTTACTACCAATTAATTTCACCGTTAGATCGATTATGTTGATCAAACAGTTATATTTATTTCCATCTTTGTATGGTCGTGATTTTTCAAATTTAAAGTGAAAGCATTAAATATGAAAAATCATAACCATGCAAAGCTGAAAAAAATATAAAGTATTAAATTTAAAGTAAAAGCATTAAATATGAAAAATCATAACCATGCAAAGGTGAAAATAAATATAAAGTATTAAATTTGAAAAATCACGACCATACAAAGATGGAAATAAATATAACCGTTCGATCAACATAATCGATCTCAGTTTAATTGTATGTGTTAGGGTACTTTCTTTACTCAACCTGGTGACATCTAAACTCACTCTCAGTTTAATTTTTGTGACATTTATATAATAATACAGTGAGCTTAATAATCTCCCCATTAAGGTATTGGACAAGGAAGTCAGTAAGACAGGGTCCAACATAAGAAGCACATGTGTATGTGAATGCAAACAAACATGAAAAAAGAATCCCATGCCATGTTGAGAAGATTAACACTTCACAAACAAGCTAAAGAGTGGTCACTCTTTTAACACTGTCACACTGTCATTGCTAGCAAGGAGTGGAAGGTCCTCATGGTTTAAAGTCTTCTTATTGCCTAGAGTTATCAGTGGACTCATCCGTGAGAATGTAAGAAAGCTGAAAAATTGAGCATTTGATTAAGTAGCTTAGTTAGCATAACACAAGGTTAAAAACATAA